TACAGATATATATATAGAGAGAGTGAGATATATAAAGCTTTTAGTTACATAGGTATACAAATAAAATAAATGTTTAATTTCACACAAAAATTTCTCCAATATCAAGATATTTTTTATCAACTCTTGTGTCTTCTATTTTCTAAATAATTTATAAAAATGGTTACTTACTATGTTTTGCTTTGTGACCTACATTTTTCTACTTGAACCATATGTTTGAATATTTTTTTCTGCTACAAAATGGTCTTCTGGGACATTTTTAATGACTGCAGAACAGTTTATTTAATGGATATATGATATTCTTAGTTGATCCTCTATTGTGGGACATTTAGGTGGCTTCCAGTTTTTCATATATGGAACTCTATTACACCCTTATTATCTCTTAATATTCAGTTACAAAAGCCATATGTGCATACCCTTTCTAAATAGCTAAAACAATTAAAAAAACTGTGTAAAATAAAAGGCAAAGTTCCCTATTTCTATTTACCAGCACTTTTATTTCTCATCACTTGTATTTCCCATGGATAACCACTGTTAATAGTTTCATGTATATCCTCCTGAACGTTTTTATTTTCTGACTCCTTTTTTTCTTTCTTTCCATTCTATTAAGCTAGTATAGCCTTTTGTTTTATGCTCTTTTCATGCTTAGCTTCGAGCAACCTCTTCTCTTATTTTCTGGTTAGTCTGCTAGAATTATATATAAATTTAGACAAAATAATTTATGAGTGAAGGCCTCACATCTCTCTGATTAAACAGCATGAGCCTTACTGGTTACTCTTTCTGTTCTGCATTTCAACTGCTAATAGGCCTATTAAAAGTGTCCCCTAGCATTAACAGGGTCAGACAGTTGGAAAAGTAAGCTTAAAATAAGTGAAGTGTTACTATCTTTACTTTTTATAAGCTAAAATTGAACTACATTTAAGAAGCACTTATGTTAACTTCTTGTGTGTTCATACAACTGACTAAGAAAGAAAAATTCTATCAGACAAGAGAATGGCAATTGGAGATTTCTTTTTTTAGTGTATTGACTCATTCATTAACCATTTACTGAGTGTTTGCCATGTGCCAGGCACTGTATAGATATTAGGAATGTTAAAAAAGCCACAAAGCTCTTTAAAAAGAAGTTTTTTTTGTTTTGTTTTAAGATTTCACAAGTACTACTTAGGAAGCATCAAAGTATTTTATTGTCTCCTTTGCCTGGATTGTCCCTTCAAAATTTGTTTCTGAGCATTTTGTTTCTCAGAGGCATATGGCAGGAATTTAGTTTTCTGTTGATAACACACTGGCACTTGAGCCTCTGTGTATTTCTGTATGTTTTCTTGCCACCACAAGTATAGTTATGGCTCAGCAGCTGGAGCGGCATTTAGCTTTAAAGCAAAAGGGAAGTTCTCTGGCTGCCCAAGTAAATAGATATCTCGGGTATTTGGACTCCTTTCAGGTCCTTTTGGTAAAGCTAAGTCCAGAGACTTGGCATTAGAACTCACATCATTATCTAATGCACACACTTTCTTTCTTCTTTTTAAACTATGAAAATTTCTAAAATACCGGGAGTTTTATGGAGTAAATAGGGAAGTTTGGAATGTTTTTAATCCTATGCTCAATGTTGTTCATAATATTAGATGTGCAGCAGAGCCATTAATTCACTCATGCTCTTGGCTGAAGCAGCCTACCCTGACTTAAACGTTCCTTGAGTGAAAAAAGACCCAGGGCTTTAGTTGACAGTAAATGCAACCTGAGCCAGTGATGTTTTGACCTGGCTGCCAAAACAAGCAAATATGATCTGAATCAGCATTAATAGAAGACTGGTAGCTGGGACAAGTAAGGTAATAGTCCCAGAGTACACTCTGCAGTGGTCAGGTCACACCTGGAGGATGGTGTTTACTTCTGGGCACTGCATTTAAGAGTGATGTGGACAAGTTGGAGTATGTCCAAGTTGGGCAACAGGATGATGAATGACCTAGAAACTACATTCCTTGAGGAAGAGTAGGAGGAACAGAAGTAGTTTACCCTGGCATGAGGATGTGGGATAACCATTTAAAAATATTTGCAGGGTTATCATATAGAAGAGTTGAACTCTATGTAATCTCAGAAAGCACAACTTAGACCAATGGATGTATATTACAAAGTGGCTGATCTTGTCTCAATAAAAGGAAGAATTTTCTAGCCCTTATTAATGTCCAGAAAATAGCTCTGTAAGGTATTGACTTTACCTTAATAAGTGGTATTAGGACTATAGCTGGCTGACCAAACATCCAAAGATTCATGAATAGGATGGTAGCTTTGAAGAGACTGCATGATCCAAACTCCTTTCAGATTCAAAGTTTCTAACTACAAAACCTTAAGAAAGAAAAAAATGCATTAGTGCTTTTTCCCTTAGATGCCTACAAGTATTAACAACAGAAATTATGTTAAAATTGACATTAAGGGAAAATATCAGTTATGAAGGTAGAAGGTAAAAAACCTATAGGAACTTTTCTGTTTTACCTGGTGGTTGTGAATTTTGCTTTAGAAGTGTTTGTTTTTCTCAAAGCAGACTGAATGACTTTTTTTCACTTTTAAAATCCTTTAGATCCCATTCTTTCTTTCTTATCAAATTTATGCTTATCATAATATTATTTGCAGAATACTATACTTTGATAAGATTACTCTTAATCCAAAATTTTAAAGCAGCATTTTGGGGAATAGCAATCTGTGTCCACACATCAAATAACCAGCCCTGTGGAAAAAATGGTGTTTAACATTCATTAATTGTTGATAATGAGGTAGCATCCAGTAAAACATGTGCATTGGGATAGTTTGGGCCTTCCCCACAATTGGTGAAGTTATGAGGCTGAGAACAATTATTCCTATTTTACCAATGCACAAACTGAGTCTTGGGTTGCGTAGCTTGCCTACTATGATCAGGACTGGAGCTGGCTCCAGAATCCAAAACTTCTGACTTCTATCCCAGTGCTATTTCTAGTACTGTGTTTAACACTAAAAGCTACTTTTTTTCCTAATACTGGGCTTAGTAACTTAATTGCAGAACATAGTTTTTTTTTTTTCTTAACTACAGTGGTTCTCTGGAGTAGGAGGGTAGATTGTTTTAGCCAAAGAGTTGGCCTTTAACTTTAATACTGTCCCTAGTTCGTCTTATGTCCTAAAGTAAGTCTAAAGCAAACACCACCACTGATGTCTGAGGATATTGACCCTTTTCTTGAAAATAGGATTGCTAAAAATTACTCCCCACCAAAATATTCTAAGGATGTGGACAGAAATGTTTGTCAAAAGGAGTAGATTTGAGTGGGCAGTGTAAAATGTTAGGAGCTCAGGCTGACAGAGAGATCTGGGTTTGAATCTCTGTTCTGCCACCTATTGGCTATGACATCACTGTCATCTCATGAAGCCTCAGGCCTTATCTGTAAAATGGGAAGAACAGGATTTGCCTTTGGGAGCTGTTGGGAGGATTAGATATGGTAATGTGTATAAAACATGAATATTGTTATCTTTTAAAAATACATTTATTGTGCCCTAGCTGGTGTGGCTCAGTGGATTGAGCACCAGCCCTGTGAACCTAAAGGTCACCAGTTTGATTCCCTGTCAGGGCACATGCCTGGGTTGTGGGCTGGGTCCCCATTAGGGGAGTGTGAGAGGCAATTGAGTGATGTTTCTCTTGCACACCGTTTCTCTCCCTCACTTTCTCCCCCCTCTCTCTGAAAAATAAATAAAATTTCTTTAAAAATATATTTATTGTGTGGGTTAATATATATTGTCTTTTATCCATTTTTTCTATTGGGGTATTATTGTGTATTTCCTATTTACTTTTACTGTCTAGTTTATACTCAGTATAGTAGGTACAAATAAATCCTATTCAGTAACATTAGTAATAATTCAACTGAGCAAGTGAAGTGACTTCTGGGTGCCCAACCCAGTACTAGTCTCTGAGAATACAAAGCTGCCTGAGGCTAGACCCTTGCTAAGAGATTGATCCACAGGTTACTGTGGAGGCCAACCTGCTGCTCCAAAAGGATCTGGAAATGTGTGTGTTGAGTGACTCACAAGCAACCAAGCCAAGAAAGGTGAGAGGAACCTTCGTGGAGAGGGAAAAGTTAAGTGAATGTCCAGAACTCTTAAAAATTATTTATTTCTTTTTAGAGAGGGGGGAAGGGAGAAAGAGAGGAATAAACATAATACATGCACGTGAGAAACTTCAATGGGTTGCCACTCCTGTGCTCCCTCTACTCAAACTGAACCTACAAGCTCATGTATGTGCCCTTACCAAGAATCCGATCCACAACCTTTCGTTTTGAAGAATGACATCCAATCAACTGAGCCAGGGTGAAGGCACAGAACTGTTAAATAAACAGAGTGAGTGAACTGTAAGCCGGCCTGGCGGCTCAGTTAGTTGGAGTGTTGCCAGAGCACCAAGAAGTTGCACGTTCCATTCTGGGTCAGGTCACATACCTGGGTTTTGGGTTCCACCCTAGTCCAGGCATGAGTGGGAGGTAGCTGATAATGTTTCTTTTTCACATAGATGTTTCTCTATCTCTCTCAAATCAATAAACATATCAAACAAATTTGCTAAAATCAATACAAACATCCTCAGATGATGATTAAAAAATAATAGTGAGGTCTATCTACTAGCCATGACGTAAAAATTCAGTGAGATAATATTTTTAAAGTGCTTGGCACACCAACTGGCAGAGTAAGTGTTCAATATTTGTCATCATTACTATTATATTTTAATTTAATTTAATATTACCTTATAATTATGAACCGTATCATTCCAAAAAATATTTCACCCCGTGATCGCTGGACTGAGAAGGAGGGTACCAGGATTCATAAACCACTGGTTCAGTCTGTGAAGAGCTTTAAGACAGGCGGACAGCGCCGGAGGCACAACCCAGTCAAACGCCACCGTGACGTGCCCACGTCTAGGGGTGGCAGGGGAGGAACCCTGTGGAACTTGGCTTCTCGGGTCACGTGGGCCTCAGCCTGGCGCCAGCCCCGCCTCGCCCCGCCCCCATGGAGTCCGGCCTCCGCGGCTGCGGCAGCGGCGGCTGCGCCTGCGTAGAGCCGAGCGCTGTGGCCGCGACCGCTGTTGTGGGGGCGCTAACAGCGAAGAGGCACGAACAGCAAGTGACCGGCGGATGGCTCTGCGGGACCTGGCAGGCTTGGGCCCCTGCTCACGCGGGACGTTGGGGGAGGCCGAGGCGGCGGCGGCGGAGCGAGAGGCGCGGCCCTTGGAGGCGGCGGGAGCCTCGCCGGAGGAAGATGAAGAGGACGACGGCCGAGGCCGGGGCCTGCTACGTTGGGATGGCTTCTCGGCCTGGCTGCACTGCGTGTGTGTGGTGGGCTTCGATCTGGAGCTGGGCCAAGCCGTGGAGGTGAGGCCCGGCCGCATCGTTGCTTCTCTGACCTTTCCCGGCCCGCATCGTTCCCCCTCAACCCTTTCCCAGCAGAGGGGCGGGCCAGGCGGCCTAGACCCGGGCCTCACCTCATCCGGGCGTGGCTGGCCCGCCTTCCGCCCATCGAGCCGGGCCGCGGTCCAGTGGCAGTTCCCGTGGGAGGATCCCGGGCTGCGGCCAGGGGTGAAAAGGTCTCTAACGGCCCCTCCTAAATACTTGTTGATTTTTTTTTTTTAAACCGGTGTTACAAGAATACATAACTGTTTAGCGGCACCCGGAGGAGGCTGCAGGCAGGATGTTTGGGACTTTTTCAGGAAGCAAACAATGCCCCCGACATATGGTGAAATATAACAGCCCAACCTCTCTCACAACAAACTTTTTTTAGACTCAGTTGTTTTGGTCATTCACAGTAGTAACTTTTGAGTTAGAGCATTCCATTAATCCTGAGCCGAAATGCTCATCTCAGCATGCCTTTTCGTCTTTTCCTTCTCTTCCTCGTTTCTGTTACTTCTTGATGTTGCTTCTGAAACATTAGGCCCAAAACCTAATAACCAAGATGGACATAGGTAGAGTTGTTTGCTTGTGAATCTCTAAAAGTTTCCATTTTCATGGCACTTTATTGAAAGGCCTTTGAATCTTACCGGTTTTTGACATTGTATAAGGTACTTTTTGTTGTGTAAGAGATTTCTTGTCTTTATATGTCCAAGAAAAATATTATCAGAAGGATGTATATTTCAAAGATTTGGGGGGGTAGTGATTACATTTTAATAAACCATCTCTTTCTGATTTCAGTGACATGAATTGGCTACCAAAATTGACCAGGAAGGTTTTTCTTAATGGGAAGATACTACTTTTATATTCAGCCTTTCTTCTCTGTTCTATCATTATGAGGTTCCATATACTGTTTCCAAGAAGATCTAGGCATTATGTTTTCTTGGCCTACAAATATGAACAGTATGCTCTAAATTGTATTTGTAGATTGAGACTACAATTTAGGGGAGAGCTAAAAATTAATCACAGTAGCACAGGGACAAATGCAGTGTCTGACACATGGTGGTGTTTAATAAGTACTTGCTGATAGAATGAATGAATACAAGAATAATTCTTTATCTTATAGAAATAATGACTCCCAAAGAATTTGAAGAAGAGATTTGTAAACCATCTATTGATTACGTTGACATGTTAACCAGAAGTTTTATGTATTGCAAAATGGAATTTAATCAAAAAGCAGTAGATTGGGTTGTAGTTGATTACATTTTTACATAACCAAAGGAGATCTTTTGGGGCTCTCGTTATTTGACACACTTTTTATAACATAATTATGTTTTTTCTGATCAAATAAACACTATTTAGCATAACTGAGGTGCTACAAAAAATGAGGATCATTAAAGATCTTATTTTGAATTTCATTTTCCATGACATGTCCTAACTGTACAGAGTTTCCTTTAGGTCAGTTCATAATTTGCTTACTGAAACTATAAAAAATATATAATGAACTTAATGAATTCTCTCCATTAGGAAAATGCTTACTAATAAAAAATTATGTTTGCTTCCATGTACCATCTGGGGGGTTATATATGGACTTTATAGTCCATTGTCCTTAGATTAAGAAGCACTGATTTTATTTTTTTTAATATATTTTATTGATTATGCCATTACATTTGTTCTATTTCCCCCTTCATTCCCCTCCACCCTGCACACACCTCTCCCACCATTCCCCCTTTTAGTTTATGACCATGTGTCTCAAGTTCTTTAGATTCTATATTTCCCATACTATTCTTGCTCTCCCCCGTATCTATTTTCTACCTACCGTCTATGCTACTTATTTTCTTTACCTTCTCCCCCCTTCTCCCACTTCCCTGTTGCTAACCCTCCATGTGATTTTCATTTCTATGGTTCCACTCCTGATCTAGCTGTCCTCTTAGTTTGCTTTTATTTTAGGTGTGGTTCTTAATAACTGTGGGTTTGCTGTCCTTTCACTGTTCATCTTTTTTATCTTCTTTTTCTTAGGTAAGTCCCTTTAACATTTCATATAATAAGGGCTTGGTGATGATGAACTCCTTGAATTTGACCTTATCTGAGAAGCACTTTATCTGCCCTTCCATTCTAAATGAAAGCTTTGCTGGATAGAGCAATCTTGGATGTAGGTCTTTGGATTTCATGACTTGGAATACTTCTTTCCAGCCCCTTCTTGCCTGTAGGGTCTCTTTTGAGAAATCCACTGACAGTCTGATGGGAACTCCTTGTAGGTAGGTGACTTTCCCCTTATCTCTTGCTGCTTCTATGATTCTCTCCTTCATTTTAATCTTGGCTAATGTAATGATGATGTGCCTTGGTGTGTTCCTTCTTGGGTCCAACTTCTTTGGGACTCTCTGAGCTTCCTGGATTTCCTGGAAGTCTACTTTCTCTGCCAGAATGGGGAAGTTCTCTTTTATTATTTGTTCAAATAAGGCTTCCACTCGTGACTCTTCCCCTTCTGGTACCCCTATAATTTGGATGCTGGAATGTTTAAAGATGTCCTGGAGGTTCCTAAGCCTCTCCTCATTTTTTTGAATTCTTATTTCTTCATCCTTTTCTGTTTGGTCTTTTTTTTTCCTCTTTCTGGTCCACTCCTTTGATTTGAGTCCCAGTTTCCTTTCCATCACTATTGGTTTCCTGTGCATTTCCATTCATTTCAATTAGTTTAGCTTTCATATGTTCCTCTAATTTGTGACTAAAATCAACCAGTTCTGTGAGCATCCTGATCACCGGTGTTTTGAACTGTGCATCTGAAAGTTTGGCTATTTCTTCCTTGCTTAGATTTATTGGCTCTGGGGCTCTGAGTTGTTCTTGAGCCATGTTTTGATCTGTTCATACCTGTTATGTATGAGGAGTGGAGCCTTAGGTGTTCACCAGGGCAGGGTCACCCAGGTCGCTGGTTTGTGACGCTGTATGTGGGGGCAGGGTCCGAGAGGGACAGTGGTTGGTCCCCTCTGTCACTTCCTGCCACTGGGGCCTGCATGGTCTGTTTCACCGCTCGCTTTTTTGCTGGTTTATCTGCGTGCGAATGTGTGACCGCGGTCAGTCCTCAGTGGGTCCGCCGGCTACTCCACACCTGGGATCTGCCCACGGCTGCCGGCGTGCCTGGGTTGCACGTCCAGGTCGGTCCGGTGGATCTTTCCTGCCCGACCCCGCTCTGATGCTGGCTCTGCTCCTCTTACCAGTTTGGCTGAATGGTTCGTTGTTGTCAGACTTTCGTGTAGTTCAGTTTTCTGTGGTTTGGCTGTGTTTTTGTTGCTAAAACTTTGTTGTTTTTAAACTTGGTTGTGCAATAAGGTGCAGTGCTTCCACCTATGCCTCCATCTTGGCAGAAGTTAAGAAGCACTGATTTTAGAAGGTGTAGGATGAGAGTGGGGAAGATTCCCTAATAAAGGATCCAGAGATAGATAAACACATTAAGTGGGATGCAATACTACTTAATTTTGTTTTGTTTTCCTAAGAAACATAGAATATTCCATTTTGTCACTTTTAAAATAAAGGAAAACTTGAAACCTGTGCAATCCTATTAACTAGTGTCACTCCAATAAACAATTAAAAATCAAAAAACACAAATTAGAAAGTAATATAACAATAGTTGAAAAATAGGTCATATTTTGCCTTTGTATTACAGCCATATTTAGGTCAAAAATGGACAGTAGGGGTGGCTGTACTGGGACAAGAAGGCATGTAGAATTGTGTTGGGAAAGTGACTTACAGTAGCCCAGCAGTACTTCCTGCAAAGCACAACCATGGGGATTGAAAAGGGAACTTAATTAAATACTAGGTTAAAAACTAAGGTTGTAGAATAATATCCTAGAACTCACCAGTGCTATCAAAAAGTCATTGAATCTTAGCCTTGAGAGAAACTTGAGAGTCTTCTCTGCCATGACAGAAAAGACCATGTGCAGGTTTTAAACAAATGCATAAACAGTGCCACTTATTCAAGTTTAAATCCCTACCAAAGTGACAGTATAGAATGTTGATCAGGAACTCAGACTCTGGAGCTGGACTGCCTAGGTTTGAATCTCTGTGACTTTGGATATATTACTTTGCTTGTCAGCCTCATGCTCCTCTATAACAAGATAACAGATATATTACTTTGTCAGCCTCATGCTTCTCTATAACAGGATAACAGTACATATGTTTTGGCATTGTTGTGGGAATTAGATTAAGTTAGTGTTTGTGAAGCATTTGGAATAGTGCCTGGGTCCCAGTAACACCTAAATGTAAATCTGTATTTGGAAAGCATTGAAATTCCCTTTTTATTTTCGATTGAGAGAGCCCCTAACTTTTGCTTTGAGAAGATGAGGCCTTTGGAGTTTAGTTTTCTCACTTGTAAAATGAAATGAATTACTGGGATCAGTATTTTTTTTTAAGTATAAGAACAATTTTTCCCTGTGTAAGTGAAAATCTAATGTAGTATCTCAATGGCTAATCTGGTTGAAATGGAGCTTTTGTGTGTATTAGTTGGTTATAAACAATAGAGACTAAGCTACAGTCCACAAAGGTATTTTAAGATACCCAGGATACAAACCTAGTGTTCAGAAAATGGCTAGAAACCAGAACAGGGAAGTCCCTTGTTTCTGCTCTTGTTTCTATGGATTTTGTTCATGCTTCATTTTCCTTGCAAACTGACTTCTCTGCTTCGTGGTGGTGGTCTTTATGGTGGTGAAGTTGCCCCTTTCAGCCACTTAAGTGGAGTGTGAACGTCCCTCTCATTCCACACACCAGAGGAAGGTAATCACTCAGGTCTGGTTTGGGGCAGATTTTCACTCTGATACAATCAGCTGAAGATCTTGATGGTTGGGGCATTTGTCAGTGTTGCATAAAACATCTGTGGGAGGTGGCTGTCCTGAGTAAAGGAGACAGTTGTGGGGAGGGCATCTTTTGAGCTAGAAGAGCCTGGAAAAGGTATAGACTGCAGGAGGTGTGCTTAGCTTCTTTTTTCCCTCTTGGTGGCC